CTGAAGCATGTAAGTTTGTAAAAGATATTGATACGTTCATGAAAAACATAGATTTAATCGAAAACTGCAGAATAGATGAGAACCACTTCGACTTAGAAAAATATAGCACATTCTATTGCAAACAAGATGTAAGAATTTTAAGAGAAGGTTTTGTTAAGTTCCGCAATGATATATTGAAAGAATTTGATTTAAACGTATATGACTACGTTAGTATTTGTTCTATTGCTAACAAATTGTTTGAGAACAGAGTGTACTTCCCGAATGGAAATTTATATGACCTCTCAAATAAACCAAGAGAATTTATTTCACGCTGTATTCAAGGTGGAAGATGTATGCTGTCAGATAACATGAAACAAAAGAGCGAAAAGAAACTCATTGCTGATTTCGACGCTGTTTCATTATATCCATCAGCTATAGCAAGACTTTATACTTTAGAAGGTATTCCAAAGGTTATGAAGAAAGAAATGTTAAGCACAGAGTATCTCATGAGACATTTATTCGATGACGACCAAAAGGAACCTATTGGTGAAAAGTTTATATCTGGCTTCTTTGTTCTCATTAAGATAACAGAGATTGGAATACATAGACACTTTCCTTTAATAGTTTGTGACCCTGAACTAAATCCAGAACTTAACGTTCCCAGAAGTTCAAACTCTTGCTGTCTCATGTATGTTGACCATATAACATTACAAGACCTCATAAAATATCAAGGTGTCAAATGTGAAGTGTTGCAAGGATACTATTACGATGGAAACAGAGATATTAGAATAAGAGATGAAGTAAAGAAGTTGTTTGAGTTAAGGTTAAAGTATAAGAAAGAAGGAAATCCTTTGCAAGAAAATATAAAGCTCATTCTGAACAGTATTTATGGCAAAACTATTCTATCTCCTATTGAGTCAAAAATAACCATAGTAAATGACAAAGATGCTATAAGATATGCCATCAGAAACTACAACCATATAGTGAAGTTCGAAGGTTTGGATGGTTCAGATAAAACTATTTTCAAGCTAACGAAAAGCATTTGCAGACACTTTAACTTCTGTCCACTTGGTGTTAACATTCTGTCTATGTCGAAGAGAATAATGAACGAAGTATTCTGTACTGCTGAGGACTTAGGAATGGACATCTTTTATAGCGATACGGACAGTATGCATCTCTACAATGAAGATATCCCTCGTTTAGCTGAAGAGTTTGAGAAACGTTATGGAAGAGTTCTCATTGGTAAAAACCTTGGTCAATTTCATAGCGACTTTGCAGAAATCACAAAAGATAAACAAAGTTTAGCATACAAATCAATATTTTGTGGAAAGAAGACTTACATAGACTTACTCACGAATAATTTAAATGAAGTTGCATTTCACTGCAGAATGAAAGGCGTGAAGCAAGATGTTATTGCTTTAACCGCTAATGAAATGTTTCCTGACTCTGTTCAGTGTTTCTATGATGAAGATAAAGGTTTAATGGTTCCGCAAGGAAAATTTGACAAAGACTCTAAGTTCAGTGTTATGAAGTTATATAAAGCACTTTATGACGGTCAAGAGATTGCATTCGACTTATGTAAGTCTGCTACACCTGCATTTGAAGAGAAGTTTAACTTTTCTATTCAGACTAAGACTTCATTCATAAGAAATCTTAAGTTCTGAGGTCATGAATGAGAAAAATAATGAGGTCATTTATTTTTGTCAGCAGTGAGACCATTCGTGATAAAAATAAAACTAGCGGCAAGGGCGAAGCCCATGTGGTCATTTACAATACTGCGATGGTAGAGTTTAAGAGTTGTGCTTCAATGTAGAGACAGTCCTTATGGTCTGGAGGTAAGAACACTGGGCAGTTATGGTCATGAGTGGAGAACATGTCTATCCAAAACTCACGATTGAAGCCAGTTAATTTATAGTATTTAGGGTTAGGAAGTGGTGAAGTTCTTGTATGACCAATGAACTCATTTTCAACTCCCTTACTTAAGTTTGAATATAATATAGCTTGCTTTCTATCCCAAATGCCAGGTGTTACAATCTTTGAAAATTCATTTTTCCTCGGAAGCATTGCATCATAATTGAAAACATTCTTGAAATCATCACTTGGTTCAGAGATTTGAAATCTTATACGTAATGGATTTTCTTTCTCTTTAGCGACTTCATTGAATGGTGAGAATACAACAAACTGACAGTCATGTGTTCCATCTTCATTTTCATTAAATTCATAATGAAAGTCTATAAGTTGTGGCTGACTACCTTCTTCTTTCAGTTGTGCAAGAAACTCACGTAAAGGCTGTAAAGTTTGTACTTCAATGTTGAACTTTTTCTCGAACATCTCATTAAATGAAATCATACATTGTTGCAATGTTGTATCGTCTTTAAAGTATTTGTATATGTGAATGTTTTGGGCGCTTAAAGACTGTTCGTCATTTTCTATCTCGACTTGAAGTATAAAGTCAACCTTTCTGAAAGCACGTGTTATATACATAGATGTTATGCCAATGTACTTCTCTTCATTTATGTTCACAATCCAGTCTGTTGGAAACTTAAACGTTACTCTGTTCCCCTTTATTTTGACGTCAGGGTTTTCACTACTGAACGCAACAGTTAAAGGTATTTGTCTATACATTTAATTCGGATAAAAATAAACCATTTACTCTTTCTTTGCTTCAGCTTCTTTAGCTTTTGCTTCAGCTTCTTCTCTAGCTTTTTTCGCCAGTAGTCTTGGGTTCTTTTGTCTTCCAGCAGCTAATGCAGCAAGTTGTTTTTCACTAAGTTTTCTCTTTGGTCTCTCTGGCTTTTGTTCTTGTTTTTGTTCCTTCAGTTCGGATAAAATTTGCTCGCGAATTTCTTTCTTCAATGCTTCAACATCTATGACCCCTTGGGTCTTGTCCGTAGGGCTTGTCTGAGTCATTTGACTGCAGATAAAAAACAAAATTAAAATTTTAACCGATGTAAAATGAGCTTGTCAAAATCAGAGCGAGAGTCTATTATATTAAATGACGCAAGAGGAATACAACATCCTTTCTATTACGTAAGTCAGAGTAAAGATGGTAAAATATACGTAAGAAAAAGAAAGGTTCCATTAGCGAATGCAGAAAGCGACAGTATTAAGGTGTATGGCAAGGGTGAAGTCCACGAAGCCCATGTTAAGCCTTCTATTCAAACTGAAAAGTCAATAGAACCAGAAGAAAAGAAGCCAGATGTACTTTCAATAACGAACCAAGAGCTTATTGCAAAGTTCGTGAATTTCATTGAAAAACAAACCGAGTCAAAGAATCCTGACCCGCCAGTGAAAGAAGTTGAGACAAAAGAGAATGTACAGTTCATTGAAAATGTCAAGAAACAACTTCCACCACGAATGCCAAGAAGAAGAGTGAGAATAATGAAGTAAATAGATATTTTTATCCGAAGTAAATACATGCAGAACGAACAGTTAAACGAATTTACTCCAGCAGAGCATATTCATCAGATTCGCTCATATTTCAATATCATAGACAATGCAGTTCAAATTGGTGACACTAATAGAAATATTCTGACGCAAAGATTCCATCACAACCTGGAACTGCTAAAGATAACACATGGGTAACATTCAATCTCTCACCTCCTGGTGAAAATATGTTGGACCTTTACAATACATTCATTACGTATAAAATGGAAGGTCAATTTATTGTAGATAAAGAAATTGGTTCAGGTTCCAATAAAACAAACCCACCAGGATTTTGGATTGGTTTCGATGACGCTTTCTATGCAGTTGCTGGATATCAAATCCTTGCAAATGGTCGTATCGTATATTCTCAAGACAACGCAAGAGAAGAAGCATATATAACTTCAAACTCACAAACTACCGAACAAATAAAGAAAGTAGATGTTTTCTCAAAGACTCGACATGAAGATGTATGGAGTCATTCGGGAACATGCAGAACAGGACAAATTGTTAGTGGTCCAATTACAGCAGGAAAATCATTTGATTTTAAGCTTCGTTTAAGAATTCCTGTTAGAAAATTCCTTCCATTAGAAGCTATTCGATTTATTCCAGCTTTTGCAGGAAACATTCAGCTTAAAGTAAAGTTCAGTAGCGACGCCTTACAATGCACATCTATATCTGTAAATGATATCATTGCTTTCAATCCAACTCTTAAAGTTGCATTTGCTTCAGATTCAAATCCACCGACAAATAAATTTGTTCCATGGAATGAACCATTCACTATGATAACGAAGGCAGTAGAAGCTAGTGGAACAGTTACTATTACAACTGTAACCCAGCAACTATTTCGAACAAAGATGGATTTTAATGAATGTTTCATTCATCCAAAGTCATTCTCTTTAGACCCTAACATTTATACAGAACTTGTAGAACATTATACAAACGAGGCTTTATGTTTTCCTGTTAAAGTTATGGATTGGATTCCTATGGACGGTTCATTCTCAAAGAATACAGATAGTTCAAGTGCAACATTTACAGCAGCTTATACGCCTATTAATGTTAAAAGTATTTGGGCACTATTTAGAAAGAAAGACAACTATTATGTTAATTTTGAGAACCTTAAGTTTAAATATCTTCAGCTTTCCATGGGAGCTTATGGAAATATGCCTGCAGAACCTGAAAAATCATATGGACCTGTATTTTATGAAATGGTTGCGAACACTTGCAATACAAACAATGATATGATAGGATTTAATGAAGATGTTATGAGGTCATTGGTGGATGATGGTAGTGTGGAACATAAATGGGATAGCTATGACAACACACATTTCTTATGTGGTTTTCCAAAAGAAGTGGACTTTTGCTTCCAGCAAGGTCAAACATCTACTGCTCCAATAACATACAAATTGTCTGTTAAAGGACCTATTGAACTAGCAACTGAAAACGTACCAAAGCCACTTATTGGATTTATGAGGGATTGTTGCTTTGCCATTCAGGTGCGTGCTAATGGCATCCCCATAATAAGATTAGATGACTATAACTTAGCTACGGACGACAGTGAGGAATAAAGGATGAACGTTTATTTTTAAAGCTTATAAATGAGTTCTTCATCAAGCTCTCGCGAACCTTCACCATCTATGAAACAAACTTTACCAAACGATTATGGAGCACCTATTGAATATTTCTTACGAGCTGCACAATGGCAAAGAGCAGTCTCACCAAGGTTAGGTGTTCCACCAACTCCTGTCAAAAATAGCATTTGGTCAAGTCCTTATATAAAATATGGTCTCCCACTAGGTTTGCTAGCTACAGCAGGAGCAGTTATGATGTTGAAAAGAAATAAAGCAAATGTTGTAAATAATACTGAAGTAGCTGAAGTTAAACAAACTCCAACGCCTTCGCCAAAACCAACGCCTTCACAAGCAAAACCTTCAATGACTCCTGAACCTATGGAAGTACAAACTCCTGTTCAAAAGTCAACTCCTAAACCGACTCCAACATTTAAACCAGAACCTACTCCTCAAATAAATCGTAAAACTCCTGCGTTTCCTTACTGAAAAAATAACGTTATTTTTATTTTATTTGAACATTTTATTTAGAGTAAAATGACGACTAAAGTCACTGAAGCAATGAAACAAAAGTTTTTGGTAGAATACATTAAATCAGGAACTATTCCAGAAGGTTTTTACGTTCATACTATGAAGGATGGTAGAGTTCAGTTTAGAAAGATAAAGCAACCATTAGATAAAGAAGGTATATTAAGGAAGATTAAACTTCATGAGGACAACATTGCTGAACTTAGGAAGAAGTTAGAAGAGTTGGAGAAAGGAAGAGAGTTATAAAGCAATGAATTCAACAAGGTGAAAAAACAGGTGAAAAAAGAGGTGAGATCTCACCTCTTCACCTAAATTTATTTTTGTGCTATGTTTTCATACGTGTGAGGGTGGTGATATCATTAATTTTTAAGTTTATTTTTTTATAAATGACAGAACAAAAATATAACATTTCTACTCAGCAGGAATGAGACCCTTACTGACTATGTATTCGTTTAATGCTTGATGAAAACAATGGTATATATTATCGTATGGGTATACACAACGTCTGTTTCCATCGTCGTCGTATATGTAGAGCTCAAATCCAGTCCAACCTTCTTTTGTACAATATGTAGCTTTATTTAAGTATGCATTTATGTAGATAAGGCAATTTTCTTCATCGCTCCAGAAATAATTTTTGTTCTTTGTTGAAATAGTTTTCGTTCCTCTGCGACCATAAGGAATGTATGCAATGAACTTTGCGCCATAAGGGATTGTAATATATTCAGGGTTTCTTTCATCGTCAATGGGTCTGTCTTTGTTAAAATGCATGTTTCTCTGTTTTACTTGAGTTTTGAATAGTTCACGGAAACGTTCTGGGAAAGAATCATAGTAAATGTAGTCGGACATGTCTTTGTAATGAAATAAAAATTTAAAAAAATAAAAATAAGGTTATTTTTTATTTAGTGAAGTCATTAGTGAATTCGTTAGTGAAGTCGTTTATGTGTCAGATGGTTTTGTAAATATTTAAGGTTAAGTTGGTGTTATGGTTGTGTTGTAAAATATACGTTACTGGTTTCGTAAAGTGTCAAACCATTATCTTGGGTAAGGTGGAACGCAGTGCCACAGTACCCAACTTAGTCTAACTAACTATAAAATCCAAAATTAAAATTATAACAAAAAATTTATGGAAAATTTTAAATTGTGCATATTACCCGTAGATTAATTAAAATTGCTGATGTCTTCTAAATTTTTTATTCAAAAAAATGAACTTTTTTTGAGACAGTTTTATTTTAATATGCAATGAAGATTTTAAAAAATATATTCTTGACAATAGCACGTTATTTGACATTTTGAATTTTTTCAATTCTGATACATGATTGAACCTTCATGATTTTATTAATTGGTTTCTGTAAAATAATTGTATGAACAAAAAATTAATAAGCATTCAATCGATAAAAATGTTGATGACTCCTTATAATAATTATATAAAACTGATATTTCTTGAGTAAAATTTTTCCAATCAAGATTCAATAGCTTTTATCAAAAAGTGATTTGATAGGTTTTCAAAATTTACAATCTATGTTATGTTTGAATTGGGAATTTCTCGCATATGTTCGTACATGAGCAAATACTATACCTTTTGCGAATAAAGAATTTTTTCATAAAAAAATTTTTTAGGAATTAGCATATCGGCGTTTTGCGACATTGCCAAACGCCAGATTTTAACCCGACATATGAGCATAAGCTCGTATATTGGAATAAACTCGACTTATTCCATATTAAAGTTATTATAATAATAAGGCACTTAATGTGCAAATCTAATTGAATTAGAAAATGCACATTAAGTGCCTTTTATTGGAATATGTAATACCACATATGGAATACCGAAATCCGAGCATCAATTAGGAATGAACTAGTGCAAATTTTAGAAATACAGTATTATGTTAAATTCAGGATAAAAATTGTTAGAAATTTATATTTACAAATGAGTAAATAAGTATTTTGTAAAGTTTTCGTTTGATTTTCAAGCTTGTTGGAGAAAAATAATGAAAATAATTATTTATTTAAGCAATTTACACTAAAACTTTTTATGGAAATTGCAGTTCTAGCAATGTCTTAGAATTTAATTGTCATTTAAAGTGTGAAATGCATTGATTTGCTAGTGAATGTAAATCGGGAATACAAAATTAATATAAATGAACGAAAAATCTTCTAAGAACATCCTAAAATCAATCACCCTTTGAGTGGCTTTCATAATATATCTAGATGATAAACCAGAAATTGAACCCGCATATGGGTCCCATTAGGATAAATTGTAAACTATTCAAAAATAGTTTACAAAATTAATTTAGGTAATAATAAAATTTTTAATTGAGATAAATTAAAAAAATCTTAGGAGAATGTTATGGATTTTCTTCATTGAACCATTCGATAAATGAGCATCTTTGCGAGCCATTTGTGTTCGAGAGTCTTGTACCATAAAGGTGGCATCTCAGCAGTTGAGCATCCCTTCAATGCATTGATATCTGTTGATGGAACAGAGTATGCGACTTCATCATTGATCATGATCCAATATGCACTTTTTTGCAAAAAGACCACGTAATGAAAATTGCAATAGGCAACAATTGCAATCAATTGATATCTTTGCCTTTCGACTGTTGGGAGTGTCAACTTTTTCGGGAAGTCAAAGATGACTTGATGAATCGAATCATTCTGCCACTCTCTCTGAATGTCGAAAGTCAAGAATTGTGGCCATGATGTGTTCCTTGTAGTTGACAAATGATATTGAATGGCATGATCGAGATCTGGTTCTCCAATTCTGGTGTGAATCGAGTAGCAATTTGTTTGTTCGTTGGCACTATCACGGTAAGTGATTCGGAAGAGTTGACCGATTCCTGGTATTTGCTCTGCGAGATCTGTGATCAATCTTGTCATCGTGTCATCACAATCTTGTGCCTCATATGTTGAGTTACCAAGTAATGTGGCAAGTTCATGGGGAACGAAGACTAATCCTTTGGACTTCAATGAATTCAAATTTGTAAAGATACTTGACATCTCTGTTACGATGGGAGAGGACTGATTGGCAACCTTCAAAACTTCTGTTCTCACTTCGGATATGTAGAACAGAACCTGTAAACATACGTTCAAATGACACGTATTTCCCATATTATGAAGACCAACAATACCACCTTTAATTGGGTAAAGGTAGTTCGCCTCTTGTGATGACTGTATGATATCGACAGCTTGATGAGCGACAGCAATGATGTTCCGCTTTGATGGTTTCATGGAGGGTGCAACAACAGCAGCGACGGTATCGCTTGAAGGAAGAACCTTTGTTGGTGTAAAATCTTCGAAAAGGAGTAACTCTTCATTATCATTCAGGGGTGATCCATCAATGTTATAATTTGTCAAACCGACTAAACCTGATATGATCAGAGGAAGTGATGTGCGCTCACCTCGAAAACCATTTTTCATGCAGGACCAGCATGACTTGAAACGTGCAAAGAAACGCTCGACAATCTGCCTGTCTTGGGCAATGGCGTTGTTGCGTTCAACGTCTGCTTCTTCGTGGCTTCTCTTCATCACCACGGCAGTAAGGTGATATTTCTGGATTCCAATATAGCCCCGGTCGGCAAGTACAGGATATTGGTAATCATCAAATCCTCGCTTTACTGTCAAAAAATCCGAGACTTTTGACAAATCGAAAATCTTCTTGTCATGGACTGCAGCCATAAACTCAACGTTTTGATGTATGGCTTTTCCATCTGGTGACACGAGGACTTGGAGCTTAATACCGTTGCAGTGGTTTTTTTCATCCCAACTATAAAGCCTCTCTTCCTTTACCGAAGGAATGTTGAAAGGAATTGTAGTGCTGTCTACAGCTGCAACAGCATCAGGGAAGTTTGTAAATTTGTTCTTCATTGAAGTTAACGGTGGACAGTGATTGGGAAGAAAATAGCTCGCAAAGATTGGAAATGCAACATTGGTAGTTCTTGTAACTAATTTGGAATAGCATGACTGGGAAATATGTAGCAACGGACATAATGCTGAATAGGGCAAGTATGTGCAGTAATATGTGAGCGTGAGGAAGAGAGACTCGATTGTTGAAAATTTGACCTTCCTTCCTCTTCTGGCCCTTCCACAGTTGGATTCAATAATGTCAGCGAGGTATTCCAACTGTTCATATGTGAAGTTGCACAATGATCGGAGCTGGAGCTTTGGATGCATCCTGATGAATATTGAAATCGAGAACCTGGGCATTGGATTGGTCAATGTCATCTCTTTTGCCTCTTCTTCATTTAATGGCTCTTCATCTGTGTCGGAATTCTCAGGTGTAACAGTAACAACAATGTTCGCCCTTCTGGATTCTTTTATCTTGGTGATGATATCTTCATCGCATGGTTCATCCATGTTGATAAATGAAGTGATTAAAAGATATAAAAATCTTATCAAATTTGAAATAGAGTTCAAAATTAATAAATAATGAAACCCAATCAATTTAATCATATCTAGATATCCTAATATATATCATTTTAAACTTGAAATTAAGAAACTGTGAAGAATTAAAAAACGTTTAAAATCTTTCATACAATTTAATCATATCTATATATTCTAGTATATATCATTTTAAACTCGAAATTAAGAAACTGTGAAGAATTAAAAAAAACGTTTAAAATCTTTTAATAGAAATAGTTTATTTAAAAAATAAAAGTTTAACTGGTGCATAAGTAAAAATTAGATTCTCGAACTTATTATTATTTTTGATTGAAATATTAAAATAGTATTCCAATCAAAAATAATAATAAGTTCGAGAATCGTAATTTTAGAACTTTTTTACATTCTTCACGCCTGTAAAATATTCCATAATTACAGATTTTATTAATTACTACTTTTTTAGATACATTCTAAAGCTGGCGAAGCAACGCTAAAGTGATGATTAACAGTGAATCACTGCGACGACCCAACATAATATATTGAGATTAATTTTCTAGGTACGGTTGAAATGGCGGAGACCTTCTGGC